ATATATATATATACATATATATATATATATCTATATATCTATAAATAGATGTATATATATTATATATTTCTCGCTTGTATGGCTAGAACAGTACAAGTAATGGATCGATAATTTGCATGAGTAGTAACTTTGTATGTGCCTAGTGTCATTTCACGATCGCATACTTACTGTCTGGGCAAGATCGCATACTTACTCATAATTCGCCATCTACATATTAGCTATGTTTCGATAAAATTATAGTCGAGGCATTGCAGGTTTCTAACATCAACTCATGTTTGCATTACGTGTTCTGCAGCTATGGATTGGGATTTAAATAATATTGAAGAATTGATGAAAGATATCGAGCACGCACCCTGCCGAGCCGAGATAGTTGCGCTAGGAATGTCGTTTGGGAATATGGAGGGCTGTGTCAGCCAGGTTAGTACGAGTTTTGTTGTGGATATTCTGTTGGGGGCGCTCTCGCGATAGAAGCTGTTTCTTCTGCACGCCTTTGTATATAGCTTTCATACTTCTGTTTGACATTTATATTGTTTCAAGTATCGGTCGAATAGAGAAAATCTCAAGCCAATTAATGTCAATTTGAACTAGTGCTGTCCTGAAGTATCAATTAAGAAGGGAAAGATAGTTTACAATAGACATGGTCATGCCATTTATGTAAGTAAATGCTGGAACAGAAGTGATGGAATAGACGTTTGTCTCTTACGCAGAGAGTCTTTTATCTACTCGGTACATAACAACGATTGTATCTGTATCCTGCGCGTTTTCGTACTCTAGACGGTTCAGAAGAACAGATTAGTTCGCAATATATGTGAGAGTCTTTCTCTAGTTATTTATTAGACGCTCACTTTCCGGAATTTCATTCACACGCAGGTAAAGCACCAAAACGACCTCGCCAACATGTGCGAAGACTCCATATACGAATTTATCGATATTGCGGGAGAAGTTCTCAAGAAAGAGAAATGCTTAAAACCACTTAATGAGTTTGTCAATATGAAGGTGATCAAAATCGATATGATGCCTGTCTTCAAAGTCTTCACAGATGCCTACGACTGCTCACAGGGTAAAGGTATGTCATTATTGATCATATAATGTCAGTGGAACACTATGGGTTCACGCCTTGCATTTGACTATTGCTAGGCATAAAGTTTCGCTTACGCTAGTCTAAAACCAGTCCGCATATGGACGCACACATAGCGATTTTGAATCGTCTACATGCTTTCTAGGTACCGTTCATGCGCTCACACATCTCTAATGACACGTATCTACATATTCACAGTTGCAGAAGCAAAGACTGAGTGTCAGAAACAAGCGATCCCTGAACTCAGTGAGATTCTTAATGACTTCGTGAATGAGATCTTTGAAGGTGTTAGTGCTGATTTCCTTCAAACGATTGAAGAGTTCGGGGATTCGTTTGCCGCCCTGTGGCAGTGCGGAAGGGATGCACCGTCATTAGAGAGCACTATTTCCGCAGATGATTTTAGCATCTTTAGTGACAGGGTATGTCTGATGTTCACAGGATTCGGTATACAGAATGCGGCACAATTGCGTGTTTGTATTTTCTCAGCCAAACTCTACATATTTTGTAATTTGAAATGCTGAGCGATCATTAGTTGTTCATGGCTAATTTGGCTATACACACTATTTGTTTAGTTATCAACGTGAATTTTGCATTCGTCGAATTGGTATCGGTGGATTCTATTACGCGTGAATAATCTCCGTTGTATTTGCATACAGTGAGAGCAAAAACAATCATAACTTTATCCCAATCGTACATCTATTCATCATTCTATCCTCATCGTCGTGCAACAGTCCAGCAAAATGCTAGATTCTTTAAATAAGTGGCGCGGGGACCCCACCAAGAACACATTTTTAGATGCCAACCAAATGTGGGTGTTACAGAGGATAATGGAAGCGGTAGACGAGAAAGGGCCAATGACGAAGGGCATTTTGTACAAGATCAAGCCTTCTGATGTCTCCGATCTGCACCAATGCAAGGGACAGTATGTCGCTACCGTAGCTGCCCTGGATAAGGTATTGTATTAGACTACTGCGTCGGTTAGAGACTCTAAGTGTAGTGAGGTTTCTGGGGTAAAATGCGGGTATGAATCTAGACATCTAAAAACAAATGCAGTATTTTATCACGAATTCGTGTCGAAATAGCATATCTCGCTCAGTGATGGCTTGGTGTTCTGGTACGAAGCCGCCTCAAAAACACTGTCAATATTTAATATAATCGCAACTACCGCGTGTCGAATTTTTATATATTTCTCATCTGTATCTCCGTGATGTCGGATCGATTCGCTGTCGTATGGTGACTCCCAAGGGTTCTTCCCTTTTACTCGCATGAAACTTTTCATTAATGTTCGTTCATCTTTGTGTCTCAGAAGTCTTATGGACTGATAAATTTTGTATTCTTCGCGTCCATAACTTGTATACGGCCCCCTTCCGTACTTTGCCTCATGGATTTGATTGATACAGGTTCTATCGGATGATGCCAACATGATGCAGCTCACATCGGTGGTGTTTGATCGATTGCTGTTCCTTAATCCTTTGCGTCCGTTTGTACAAGCGTTCGTGGACACGGCACCTACACTCACTATGCAATTGCTGCCCGACGTACAATGTCTATTCGAATGGGATACTAACAAGATGCCGTCGTTATATACCTGCATGAGTACCATCGGAGACGCCGCTCAGGTATGCTGTCTTGCCTTCTTTGTAGGCGTTTGTGTTATATTCAATGCGTAGGTTTTGCTAGTGGATGTGAACCATGATTGTAGTGTTTTTTTTGTGTAGTTCTGGCAATGCCTTATGCTTCACTCAAGTCAAGCCGAATAGTCTCACAGTTGTTGTTTACTTGTGACTCGTTATAGGCGTATACTGCCGAGCTGGCTGCAGCCAAAGAACGTGCTGACGCCTCAGAGCGTCTGCATGGTTGGGATGACACAATTGGCGGTCCAACCGGCGAGGCAGCAGATAATGCATCAACACTTAAGGTAACGACAGGAACGACTGACAAGGCCGTTAAGCCAACTGCAGCAAGTGACAAGACCGCCAGTGTGACTAGTAAGCAGGGTACAAAGACGGGTACGGTCACCCAGGCTTCAACAGGTGTGGATGCGGTGGGAGCTTTGGGTGGCGACAAGGACGATGCTACATCGAATGCATCTGTGGGTGTAGTCGCGACGGACCCGCCCGCTGCTGCGGAGGTGTGTACTACGACTGCGTGCATCAGCATCACAATGACGAGATATGTGTTTGGATGAAATTTGTTTCGTCAACGGTGTGCTTCTCAGCAATCATTGCGTTTGGAAGTGATGTGTTTTGATAAATTAATTGCATCAGCGGTGTGCTTTCCATAACATCAGAGGTGTGCTTCTCATACAACTAAAGTGTTTAATGCATACATTTGACGTCATAGTTTTCGGCTGCATCTGACGGAAGATACCGATACGTTAATACTCTCACCATCACCTGTTTGTGAAATACGGAATTTATATATATATATATATTTTTCAATCTCATTAACAAGTTATCATCCCAAAATCTCATATATTAGAAAGCGACACCTCATTATTTAGCTATCATCCCGAATTCTTATGTATATTAGAAAGAGACGCTATCGCTACTGTATAAATATACATGCTAGAGTGTATGAGTATGACCCACATCACAAAGCTTTCTCATTCTACTATCGATGTTGGCATTGGGTGTGCGCATACCTCATGTAGCATACACCTCGAATGTGGTTTTTCATTCATGCGTTGACTCATCACTTCTGTTTATTTTTCTTCCGCACAGCCGACCAAACACTCGCATGTCTTCCGCCACTTCTTGTACGTTGTCGCATTCGCCTGTCTGGGTGTGGTGGGAGCTCTTGCTATGCGTGTGCAAATGAGGAAGTCAGCAATGTACACGGCGATTCCCGCTAACGAAAGTGATCATGACATGTTTGATGTGGAGTCCCGTGGCCTCTTGAATGATATGGGGAGTGACGACGATGATAGCAGTGAAGATGACGAACCAATCGCACTATAGGTGGGCCCGCTCTATTGGATTATGTGCAGACAACTTTATTTACCCGTGCACGTGATTCTTTACTTTGAGCGCGAGATGCATGGACATCGCCCAGCGATTTCTTGTCGACATGAGTGCCGCTATGGTACATGACGAGAAAACGCAGTCGAGCGTGATTCTGTCTGTCAACATCACTCTCACCAAGAAAATATATTATACTGGCACGTTCTGAAATAAAATTAAATACAAATTGCTGTTTCAAATACTTATAATTTAGTTATACTTCGCGAAACATAAAAATTATCGGGTGTTGCTTATACACTTATGAGCCCGCTTTACCAAAGACAATGTCCGAGCCTAAGCCAAAGCCAATACAATATAAGCCAAACTTAATTATAATAGTATCTGACAAAGGTCTCATTGATATCGAATGCGTTCCACATATGTTGTGGAAGATGTAGGATATGCACACATTGCCCAACACTTCAGGTAGGGGCTCGATGTGACCAACACACGAGGATTTGATAGACAAATGTCTTGAAAACGCGCAACCACAGACGACATGGGAGGGGTACTCACTGATACACAAAAAGTGTAGCGAGTGGGTAACTAAAGGAAAGATCATACTTGTTGTAGAAACCACTCAATTCAGGAGGAAATCGTCGTTCGGTTTTACTAAACGGATTCACTTTTATCTAAAGTTTACAAGCATTCGTGGCAGGTCTTGACACCCCGTAGTATTCCTTTCCGGTTTTCAGTTTTCATGCATGTACACGACGCCGCCAGTCGCATATGCCTAATATTTTAGCCTGCATTGTGTGTGCACGTAGAAAGCATCCTCAACGTGACGGATCAATCGATATTCACTCGGATCGATACTTCTCCATGAATTTCGTGTTGAAGTCGCTGATCAGACCAATGAAATGATCAAAGTCTTCTTCCAGAGGTAGGAATGTGGCACGGAAATGGAAGGTTCCGGGGACTTGCTTGAATCCACTACCGGGCACGGTGCACTACAGGTGTTCAAAGTACATTGATAATAAGCGCAGAGAATGTGTGACAGGGTTATCAATAGTGAACAGTTCCAGCACAGCAAGTGATTGAATAAGTTTCAGATTATAGGTTTTTCATTGCAGAGTGATGCTGATGACGCCAAATCTCGCCCGATCAAATAAGGTACGTACTAGATGCGCACGGAGCGTACACGGCGCTATTCAGGTCCAGCAATAAAAATTCCAGATCTACTACAAGTGATTATCCACACAGCATTACCTTTTTCTGCAACAACATTAGCTAGACGCTCCAGTATTCGCAAGTGACAAAATGATATTGATTCAGCTTCATTGAAGCTATTACGTAGATGAAGCACTACGAGTAGGTTGTTGCAATAGTCCCATAACAATTGGTTACAAAGATGCATACCACTCCAGTCTCCTCTAGTAGTTGCAGACAGTAGAACGCATCGGGCTTGACGTTGTGATCCGCAGCAGCATCAATAGCGCGTTGCGGAAGAGCGATATTGGGGAAGGCGTACATGGCACCCTATATAGAAAAAGTGTTTTTTTTGCATGGCATGAGAATTTGACTTGATATATTTCTGTGATATGCATACACGCGTGTAATCCCTGAGGCCTTGCATATCCAGAGGCGTGTAAATGCTTCGGTATACCAAGACACAAATCGGCGTGTACTGCGATTTTTTTCAATGTCACAGTAATGGCCTCACCATCAATCAATACCCACTGCAGTTTTTAAAATACATGACGAGCGGCTACTGGCAATTTCTTTTCGAATCAAAGTAAAATGTGACCTACAAAATACACAAGAAACTCAACACCCACATTGAATACATGATGCGCGCAAGGTCTGTATTATCACACTTCATCAGAAATCGGGTAGCTGAAAATGCCCTGGAAAAGATCAACCATTTTTAGTGCAGTAAGAAAATGACAACCGATACGTAATTGTTCATATATAAGAACGGTACTTGACCTTAACAGTATGAACTCCACAGATAGGAAACCTTCCTATGCACCCAACACAACTATCGAAAAAGACGTGGCTTAACCCAAATATAACGAGATTCTGGTAAAACTTACGCTGGAGGGCTCGCAGGTGATATTCTCCATTGAGTTGAAAGCGGTGACCAGCTTCGCAGCACGGCGCTTCAGTGACTCTGGTAAATTTTAGCGTTACTGTGAGATTGCGTCCTTACATGATCGAGGATGGATATAAGTTGTCAAAATACTATGCGAATGTCCTAGACGTATCATATGATCGGCGTGTACAAATTGAAGACAACGTCCTCGTAATCGTCATTTAATGGAGAAGTGCAGCTTTGCATGCTTTGCTATATGCATGAGCGATGCATGAGCGGATAGACAAAACATGCGCAAGAAAAAAAGAGCTCCCGGAATGACTGCACCGAGCAAAATATAAACAGTAACATGTGACATACCAAGAATGGTGTTATTCTCATCTTTAAAGGTTTGATACGAGGCATCTCCCTCTTTTGGCGGGTTGATCATCAGATCCGTCTGTGTTGCATCGCGTATGACGTAAGAAGAGGACGAAGTCGTTTTAGTGCAAGAATATGAGCTGATGATAATACGCCTACAAATTTGATGATAACGAAATACGGACAAGAACCCTACATCGCAACATTGGCATGGCTCTTGAATTTTGGCTGTATGTGCAAGAAGAGTGAGAAAAATATGGAAACAAGGCAAAAGAACACATACCATGATCTGACCGGGAACATTGGGGCACAACTGGATACTGCAACACTTGTAGATCTCAGCCTGAACATCAGGTTCGATATTAGTGAGATGCATGTAACCCCCACGCATACCACACTCGCCAATCATTCCCTTTGATGTACTGTGGAAGGAGATCAATTCCAAGTCCTGAAACTGCATCGGCATGCTGTGAAATATTGTTGCATGAATGGTGAGATATGATGAGTGAATAAGGGACAAGGTTCCGAGATGATACTATCTCGATATACCCTACATACTAACAGATCAAGGACCGAATGATTATGAGACGAGAACTTGATTAGAGTGTGACAAAAAACAAAGTGAAGTTCGAGGTACACTGAGCTTCCAGGGAGACATTCAGTATACAATATATCACATTGATTCATACGAACGCGCAAAGAAAGAAAAAAGATCTGCTTAAACTTCCTTCAACACAGACGTGCGGTAGGTTTCTATCAAATTACTAGCTTAGCAGCAGATGCGATTTGTACACACCTTTTCAAAACCTTGCGGAAGGAATGGAAAGGTAAATCATCGTTGTAGATATTGGCCTGGTAGACCTCATCGGCCATTAGTACCAGAGAATTCCTATGGCAGAATTTGATAATCTGATAAGACGTAAATTCAATAGTGAAGAATGGTGAGTAATAAATCATTACAGTAGAACAAAACGGCAGATCATTACGAGTCTTGGCACTTCACACAGTAAGCTGTAGATTGAGGGTACAGACAACATCCGGACACTTCTGTCATGGATTCCTCGGTTGTGAAAGTTGTCACTTACATTCTCCATTTGGTCCCATGTCAGACACTGTCCTGTAGGATTTCCAGGATTAATTATAACTAGAGCTTTGGTGGATACGCACAGATTCTCCGCCTCCTCTTTCGCCCGCTCCAGTTCAGGAATGGAAATGCTCCATCCCAAGCTTTCATCCAAATAGTATGGCACAGCGGTACCTGCGGAGAAATAAAAACAGTGTACGATTGAACATAAGGCATCTCTCAAAGTCTTATAGAGGGCTCGGCAGCGTCAGTGGAATCACATAGTAGACAACATTTATACAGCAACTGCTAAGTCAACACTACAAGCTACAAACCGCCAGCAAGGTGAAATTCTTGCTCGAACGAGGTTCTTACCATTCACCATGGCCATAGTCGCAGAGTAGAGAGGATATTGAGGTATTGGGATCATAACGCCAACCTTAGGGTTAGCCGACAACAAGTTCAGAATCATCTGCACACCCGCACTGGCTCCATTGGTGAGGAATAGACGATCCGGGGATGTTGGAAATCCATCACGTTCTTCGACGAACTTCGCAACACTCTCACGGATGACTGGCATTCCCTGCGAATGGGTGTAGGCTCCAGTAGACACGGTTCCACCCTTTTCGAAGTATTTATGTGCTCGCTCGATTGCATCCTGGGACAATTAGATACAGTAACGGGATTTAGAAACTCCGTGACACACACCGCAGAATTTAAACACTTGAGTATTTAAGGGCCCTATGGTTCTATAAACATTGTCTGCGAGATTGCTTTTTTTTTTGAGGGTTGAATGAGCAAGGCGGATGAGCAATTCAAAATTAGGGCTTGCACCGGGTCCCGAGGTTAGCCGAAGGTATTTTTGATACATTCAATGCGTACTAGATGGAATAAAACTCGATTCAAACAAAAATAATTCACAATTCTTACCTCAGGATATAACTTGAGCACATCCTCGCGATTTTCTTCCTTGAGCAGGTCAGGGTTCGTGCACAGAGACACCACCTGTCGGAAGAAAGTCACAGGCTTCTGCTTCAAAGCTTGAGGATTTCCAATATTGCAGTGGATGATTTTCTTGAAAGGAAGAGATCCAGGGTCCTTGTCCAGAATCTGTTATTGAGCACAAGTCCATGCCGGTTGCAATTTCAGGGAAAGGCAAACTTTTGGAAAGTAGAAAAGTTTCGTTTGTATGATTCTGACAAGTGTACAAGAGTCGACACACGAGGACAGAGCTTGCAGGTCGCGATAGTGCACAATTTTCTCACGGATTGCATACTTGCTCAGAACTAGATGGGGGTGTACGTGCACATACTCCGTGTGCGACGTTGTATATGATAACAAAAATGACATAAAATGATGAAGTAAAGGTAGATGGGGTTATATGGGTATACCTAGAAAACAGAGTATGTTGCACATGATTTTGTTCCCGAATATACGCATGGTATAGCAAGCAAAAAGCAGATCAACTCACCATATACGAAGAATTAATCCACATTTTGTGCGAGCATTTTCAAGCATGAGTAAAACTATTCGTATGGAGAGCAAGAACTGGCGTGGGACAGAGTGTTCATGAGATGAACAAGTACACCATGTGTAGAAAAGAACGGAAAGAGTGAATAAATCAAATATCAAAACTTTTAACGCACGATTTTGTAACTTGAATCTACACATGCGTATCGCAAGTATTCTCGTACTCTCAGAATATTTAAAATATATACGCTGGGGTTACACATGCGTACGTTCCTGTCAAAGCTTTCTAAACCGAGAACGAAGAATTGAGCATATATACCATTAAATCATATATAAGCTGTTTCTAGATAGAAATGTTAGCTATGCAAATATAACAATACCTGTCATATACAATCATGCCTTGTCGCATACGAAACACTTGTGAGTAATTAGTCTCCACAGCAAGTAAATAGATTTTAAAGTGCAATACTGAAATTATAAAACAGTAAATATTCTGATACTCAGTAGTAATAACGAGGTCTCACTAAGTATACAGAATTTGGGTTCAATCATGATATAACAAGCGTAGTGACTATATTCATACTCAAGAATATTCTCTTGGCCAACCGAAAGAGACAAAATTGCCATTTTCACAGTTGATAGGTAACTGCAGCTGCACATAACCATAAATATTCCTTACATAAAACGTGTATTTTATAGCTCTAGAAATCCGCACCCACACATTGAACTAATAAAACATATCAATTCAAGCTGTTTGGCTCCAACAGGAATTGCACCACGTCCGCATTACGAAAGGCGTAGATAGTTAAGTCATAACTATAATACTCGATACAGAATACGCGTGCTTGCTAACTTTAGCAAACACAACTTACCAGTTTAAGCTGCTCAGCTCTTATGGGAATGGCACCACGCACAGCATACTCCGCATTACGAACTGCATGATTGATCGATTCATAGCTCAACGCTTTACTCTTCGCTGAAGCGCTGACTTGCATGGATCGACTTCGTACAGACATGGTCCTGCTAGCAGCCGCTTTTGAAGAACTCATGATTGCTGTTGCAAATGAGTCGATCGGAAGCTTAGGCATCAGATGTGCTTTGATCTACAAGGCTGAGAGGGGGGTTGTTATTAAGTGGGAAAACACGGAAGATACACAAGAGTGGGATGTGATGCAAGACACGAAATACTATACAGATTTTTAAAAATGTGCTCAAATTGTGTATTCAAAAGGGGATATGATGCAAGACTTTGTACTTTTAAATATTTAAATATATACTTGCTCTTAGTTGTTTTTGGAACCTGTAGAAAGCTGATATCAGCAAGTCAACAGCCCTGGCTTTAGGCTTATCTTGTGATTTCGAAAGGTCTTTTTAACCCATCTATGGAAAGTACCGAACCTCTGAATTATGTGATTTGCCATAGATTTATGTCATCAGCTGATGCCTGTCTTTGCCTGATAGGGCCAGTTTCCCAGACTCCCAGTCCCAGTCTCCCAGAGGCCCAGGCCCCAGGGCCCCAGGCACCCGAATCAGCCAGCATGGCTGAACCCAGCAAACCTAAATAAATCTGATATTTTACTAAAAAGTGTTTTTTTATTAAAAAACACATAAAAATACAATCATGATCATCTCTCTCTAGCTAGAGAGCGAGAGAATGGAAAGTAAAAATATGAGGGAGGACGGAAGAGTCTGTAGGACATATTTACAATAGAAACTTTTATACCCGACACCTACGGGCTACAGCCTTCTTGGTCAAAAGAGTCGACGACGAAAGTCAGACCTGGGTTTTTTATATACCACATAGTCACCTGTTTAACTAGTCAACCTGGATAGTAGTCCCAAAAAAAAAAACAGAGATGGGTTTCATGAACGTACCGATTTATGATGAAATACGCACAGGGATTCATCAGGGAATAGTTGCTCTAATTTTAAATACACTGGAATTCGCTGAAGCATATGTGCAATGCAAACCAATTCTTTTGTAATATAAGCCGTGATGTGACTACGTTCGTGATGTGAATAACCAATAACTACAAAATATTTATAAGCAGCGATTAAAACTGCTAACTATAGACGAGTGTGAGATCAGTGTTACGCTTCTAGAGGTTGGGTGGAATCTATATCAAAGCACAGGTAAAAATATGAAGATAGGTACTATCAAAGAACTATAGAGAAAACTATATAATCAGCTCAGATTGCGAATAAAGAGCTGGCCACCTCGCACATGACCCCAAACGCTAGAGAAGCACTACAGTGACTGAGAATAATAGACGTAAGCGCGGTGGTGCAGCACCTAAGGTGGAAGAAATGATAATTGGTAATGGAGAGGATAAACGTATCAAGAAAGGGTTAAGGTAATAGCAACAAAGGCTAGGATGCTGGATGATAAGGCATATACAAGACTTACAGAAAACAGCTTTGACCTATTGGCGAATGAAAATTTATGAGACTGGTCTTTTGGTTAATATCATAGTCCAAAAAAATTCTGTGACGGACTTTTGGTCAATTAAGTAGGTCTGACTGTACTCTGGACAAAAGATCGACCTATTTACAATCCTACATATGTATTTACAGATATAAAATTCCGATGATACTTAAACGTTTATTAATTTTAACGTACAAAAAACGACGATTTTGAACCCCAAAGCCCTGATAGGGGGCCGAGGGCCCGAGCCTCGAGCCCTGAGGGCTGAGGGTATGAGTCTAAAAAAGAATAAATAAATAGGGGGAAGTAGTAGAGCCATCAGGAAGGATGGTTCTAAGATGAGAGATATGTATTTACATCCTTGGGGGCTGGGCCGGTTGGCCTTGACTAGAGGAGCTGAGAGATTCACAAATCAAAAATGCGATGATTCTATGTACATTCTACGTGGCCCTCTGGAATCTGGATTTGGGTCTCGAACGGAAATTAAGTCTTGAGACTTGAGCCTGCTGAGGGCTATTTTTTTGTATAAAAAAATTTGTCTAGACTTAGACAGACGTCACATATATATTTAAATATGTACATAGTCTATTAGTCACCCTTCTATACAAAATACCTCGCTCTTGCTCTTGCTATCTTTCACTAACACGCACTTTAACACACGCCAGAAGCCGATCTAGAAAGTGGTATAGTCAATCGCAACTAGCACTGATAGAAGTGTTATCAACGGTAACACAAAACCATCGGATACAACGCTGAGAAGACTCAAGTCACCATGTCCATCAGCAAATTTATGAACCTCAAAAGTTTCGTAAGTCTTGCACGGTAGCTTATCGCCTGATTCTACGTTAACTCACTCGCGTTTTTGTAGCCAGCTAATATATATGTGGAGCGAATCAGGAATTTAACTTGTGCGCATGTTTTTATGCATATCTATTTGCCTACACCACCTATGTTCTAATTCAGGCACGTAAATTTTCTCTCACGTACAGACGTGTACACACATACGGGCACGTATGCATACATAAGCACACACACGTGGACACACATACACGCACACACGTTTACACTCGTACACGCACACACGTGTACGCACATACAGGCACACATGTACACACACACGCACACACCGTGCATACACATACGTGCATACACGTACACACGGTACGTTCACTGTATGTGTACACAAAAACACACACGAACACACACACACGCATATAAATGCACAGGCATGCACATACGCAGGTGCACATACACCTATTTTACAGTACTGTATGCACCGTACGTACACGTACAACGCATATCAATCATTCTGAAGCTGTGCCACTTGTCTGGTAAGATGCAACACAGATACATAACGCACAGACATACTTTCCCACATACGAGCGCAACGTCACAAAGTGCATTTATGCAAAACATATACTGACATATGAAAAGTATACTTCTTTCATCATTATAGTACGTTTGCACCCACACAGTAAAAACACTTTTAGACGTACACACATGCACACATGAGCGCTTACTTGTACGCACATATTGTACACTGGGTAATAGACATACGTGTATACATTCATGTAGTCCGCGTGCATGTAATTTTTATATACCTTTCATCTCTGTATGGATCCCACGTCGGCTTATACGTGCCTATGTGATATTTTTGATCACTTATACGCACTCCCAAATACAAATTATGCACACTAAAATACATACATACGTGCGCTTCACTCTTTGTTTCGAAATGATGTTGGCGTGAGCTTCCAGTTTGCTTCAGCATTACATTGAGCTTGCCTACTTCAGTGTATTTAGCGATGGTTGCATTTGCTTTAAGTCTTTGTTTCTTTTTGCGTCGCGCTAGACAGTATCGCATATGAACGGTATCTATCTTTTGTTTTGCAGCATCCCGGAAACTTTGCAAATCAAAAGGCCGTATGGATCGCACAGGAGCGCGATAAAGACGATAAGAAGCACCAGAAGCAATTGCAACAGGTGCTTCAGAAGGAGCAGCAAGAGCATAAGCTACTCGAGACCACACCACATTCCATTGAGGAGCGGAATAGATTAGCACTCAGCTTCATGTACAAGCAACCGCCGGGGCTGGAATATGCCCAAGAGAAGTTAAAGCTGAAAGACCGGGAGATGGCCAAAAAGAGAAAGAGAGAGGAGGAGGACAAGCGAATGAATGCGCAGGAGCGGTACATAAGAGATAAGGATATGTCGTTGACAGATAAATTTGAAGTGTTGAAGAATGCACCTCGCACTGGTGACTATGTCGCAGATGTGAAACGAACCAGGAACATCGACAGACCTTTCGGTGTCGAGATTAGGAATATAAAGTGTCTCAAGTGTGGCAACTGGGGCCATGGACACACTGAGAGAGTTTGCCCTCTATTTAATACTAGTAAACAGACTGACCAAGGTATAAACGAGGATGATGAGTTGGTTCGTCCGTCTGTAGTGGATCCTCTCGAGTTGATGCGCGACATGAAGAACGGTGGCTTGGCTATGAAGCAAACGATATTGGGAAGACTAAACGACGATCAAGCGAGCAATCAACAGATGGTATTCTCGGATGAAGACGACGACGGGAGAGAGATAGACGCACAAACACTTCGAGCGTTTGCCAATCTCTCTCCGAAATCAAAACGCAAAGTGTTGAGGCGGATGAAGAAGTCGAGCGCACTTGGAGACAACGGGGGTGGTGTACAGAAAAAGCACAAGAAGCGGAGGAAGACAAAAAAGAAGAAAAGTAGTCGAAGTTAATTAGCTAGTATATAGATTCGAGTGATCGCACTTTTGCTACTCTTATTGTCGCATTGGAACGTACATAGGAGTGGATTAAACTCAACCACCTCTATATTATGTGGGTAGTAAAATTTGATGCATTGAGCATCTTATTCTGACTGATGGCATCCACTTTTTATTTTTTTCTTGAAATAATGTTGATAACTAGTACATTCATACAAATTTACATAAATACATGATTCATCGGATGTATTTAAATAGAATTGGATCATGATGACAGCCTCTCTCTGAGTGATGTGAACTGTTGTGCAATTCACTAAATAAATACTGTCCTACATAGTTAAAAAAGGAGAGAAGCTAGTATAACCACAGAAACGCACACACACACACACACACACACACAGAGAAAGAGAGAGGAGAGAAGCTAATAAAACCTATTGATAAAGAGAATACTATAGTCAGTAACCCAAGACTTTACATATTATCTATCCTAAACATGATGGCTCTTCGATTACGAACTAGGAGTTTTATAGCCACTCAGGCAAGACAATTTCATAGCGCCTCTCAGCCGAGGCGTGCCCCTAAGGAAGCGGCCGACACAGTGCGTTTCTCGCAGACAAAGGCGGCCAAGTTGCACATTAATGACGTGGCGGTTGGCCAGGATCTATCAGATAGAGGGTGTGTGGCTGTCACTACGTCTGTGTCTATTGTGTCCATCGTAGTGATAGAGTGATGTCCGCTATGGCACGTGACTTAGCTTTCATTTTGTTGAAAATTCGATTTGCTGTGTTGACAGACGTATTTTCATTATACGCTATACTACAGTTAAACTCGAGTGCAGCCTCAGTCTCGATTGTCAGAAATACTGCGAGAGGGTTTGAACAATTTTTAAGCTTGTGCTGAGTGTCGTTTTTGCCTTTGCGATCTGTCTATCTGTATTTCCAGTATACAGACTCATATGTAGCATTTGCCCATTAAAAAAACTCACGTGTAACATTAAATATACTCGCATGTATCTACTCACATGTAGTATCTAGAGTTGTGAAATACACGCACGTAACAAGCTGAATTGTAACATGCATACTTGTAGCGAACTCACTTGTATATACATACTATATACTCACATGTAACATACTAATATGTATCACGCTGACAGGTGATATACTCATAGATTAATTCTCACCATGCACGGCTTACTCTCATGTGATATTCGCACGTACGATTTACTTACCTGTAACACACTCAACACACGTACTTATGTGTGTGTGAAATACTCATTTGTGATATACTCACATATAGTATTCTTACTTGAAATACAACATCGGTCATTTCAACAGCGCTAAGTTTATCATCGGCTTGGGATTTCTTTCGATTGTCGCTTACTGTGGTGCGCTCTATCGAGCGAACGAGGAGGAACGCCAAAGGAAACTTGAATTAAAGAGATTGGGTATCGAGGAAGAGGTGTTGTCGGGTGAGGAAGCCTTTGCTCGTGCCATGCAAGATGCAGGTCAGAAGGCTGCAGCACGGGAGGCTGCGAGAAATCAGGCCAGTTGATAGTACTGATCTACGATTTGTGTACAATAAACAGTGACTATACATTATACAGACCAAAGAGGACGCTACCTAACCGGAGAAGCTATTCTAATTAAGGAATATCGCGTCCATGTCGGTTGTACTGTAGTTTTACGTAGCGTGCAAAATCTGACGATTTTCTTGGTTAAGATTTCCCTCAGCTTGTGAAATGGAAGCTCGGACAGGCTTGATTCGGAAAATGTATGTGACGCAAGTATGGCTCATCAGAGCACTCATCGCCGAGAAATATACTTTAGGTTTTTAAATATTGAAGTCTAAGTAAGGTAAGTAAGGTCATCGAGTTTGTCACTACATACCGAATATATATATTTATATATATATA